CCCCTCTGCTGCCGTCTCACCTCTCCTCCCCTCGTCCCCTACGGTACTGGAGTGAGGAGGAATTTTCGTAACATTTTTACTGACATTTATGAACCCCCCCTGGCGCAGTGCCGACCGTGTCCCGCCTATATTTCTGGCCTGACGGCGGCTTCAGCCCCGGTCAAGCTAATCCATAGGAACGCCATGAGCTCCTACTGTGGCCAAGCCTCCTACCTGGGCGAGGGTCAAGCTGACCTTCACCGTGCGGGGCGTGCAAACCCCAGTTCCACCGATGGAGACGGGCCAGGTCGCTCCATACACCTCGTCAGCCTTAACATCACCAGTCTCTCAGCGAATTGGCCAACCATCACCGCCCTTGGTGTCGACCACAACGCCGCAGTCATAGCACTGCAGGAGACCCGACATGCCAAGCCGACTAGGCAAGCCATCGCTACCAGCGCCGCCAATCCACTCCACGGAGGATACCACGCTAGTCTTGGACCTGATCTTGATCTGGCGCGAGCCCAGCGCAGAGCTGCCCACGGCGGCACAGACCACACCGTTGTGGGCAGCACTGGCGCCTCGGGAGGGGTCGCCATCCTCTCTAAGGATGCCATTGTCGACTCCACTGTCGACGACAATGCGCCCTGTATCGCCGCCCTCAAGGCCAAGAAAAGATGGCACGAGGTCTTTCTCCCGCTCTGCACTCAACACCGCCGCAGGCGGCGACGAAACAACCACGGGCCCGCGGGGATCTACATAGCGAGCCTCTACGGGATTGCTGGAGGAGACAGCACAGCTCTTTTTCGGCTCGCTGACTGCGCCGCCGCTAGGGTCGGCTCAGCCCCCTACTTCATCTGCATGGACGCCAATACGAACATCGACGACAATCCACACCTTCTGCACATGTTGCAGCACGGATGGTTCAACGTTGCTGAGGGCACACCAGACCACACCATGCACACTTACGGCAATATCCCTGACTGGGACCGCGTCACCAAGTGCCCCCGCACTTCGCGCATCGATTATATCATTGCCAACCAAGCGGCGCGATCCCTTGTCACCGACTTCTGCTACCTTCGCGACTTGCCTGCGAAGTCTCATGTTGGCCTGCAGGTCACGCTTGACCTCAGTCGCCTCGACCATACGGCCCGACGTCTTCTTGCCCCCACGCCCTATCCGCCCGACGATGGAGCTCATGAGGGTCACGAGCTGCAGGCACTAGGGACCCTCATCGCTGAGCGATATCAGGACCGCATGGAGCAGGCCGACACACGAGACGACGTGGAGCGCATGTTCGCCCTGGCTAACGAGGCCAGTCATGAGTACCATCTCACCCGTCTGCGCGACCTGCCACCTCCACCGCCCGACCACCCAAAAAAGAAGCCCCCCACCATGCACGGGCTCACGCCCACGTTCGAAGATCGACCAGTTGTCCCCCGCGCCTTCCCCACCTACGGAGCTTCCACGATACACATGAACCGACTGCGCAAGCTCCATCGGCAACTCTGCGAGCTCCGTTTCATCGGACAGCACCATCATTTGGATTGCCGTGCCATCCCGCCGTACCTCGCGCAGCGCATCGACTGCACGTGGGCCGCGGCCCGCCTCTTATGCCACAAGCTGCGCCCCACGGTTCTCCTTGACTTCCCCGAGGCCTGGTCCCCCGACGAGCCAGTGCCGCACGGAGAGCACCTTGACGTTTTGATCCAACACCTCGACTTGGAGCTGGCGCGACGTGCGAACCGTGCCAAAGCTGAACGCATCAAGATATGGGCTGAGGGCGTCCGCGAGCCAAGCGGGCGAAAGGCGGCCATATACGCACGGGCTGCTGACAGCTCGCCCACGGCGTATCTCCGCACGCCTACCACACCTGACGATACGCAACTCCACTGCGACACCAACGCCTTTAAACCTGACGAAGCTTGCACGGACGACAGCGACGCTGACACCGAAGCTGGCGGCTTCAGCCCCAGCGACGGTAGTTCGCCCGACACGGACAGCGACGAAGACCACACTCGTGAACCACCACCTGCGCAAGTCCCCGACATCCTCCCTGCCAACGCCATTGTTGCTAACACCAAGGACATGCTGAAGCTCATGGTCGACACCTGGGAGCCCATCTTGGGCAGGTACCGTGCACGTGCGGGACATGACGCCGAAGCCATGCCGACGTGGGCCGACTTCTACGACGAGTACCGACAGGAGCTGCCTACGCCATCACCAGCTACCCCTTTCCACCTTACCGACGACCAACTCATCCACTTCATTCGCACCCGTTCACCGCGCCGCGCGGGGGGACTGGACGGCTGGACTACTAAGGAGGCTAAGGAGCTACCCGACGACATTCTTCGCCTCTTCGCCAGCGTCCTACGCGCTATGCAACGCACTGGCACCATCCCAGAACCCCTCCTCCACGTGCCAAACCCGTGCCTCCGAAAAGGCCGAGGCGAACTCCCAACGGACCAACGACTTCTCTCGGTGCTTTCCGTTTGGATGTATGCGTGGGAAGCGCCAGCTT